AAACCCACAGCTCCTCCAAAACCTTTAAGGACACTATATTCAATCACTAGTCTTTCAGGAATTGAAATGTATAACATGAGTCTTATTTTCTACTGTGGATAAAGATCTGGTCAGGAATCCCCAAATTTTGTTCAGCTTCTTTTTAACTAGGTTGTTCATTTTTACTGCAAATATCATGCTCGCTCCCGCATTTCTCTTTGATACCCTAAAACGGAAAGATTCAAAGAAAAGTTCTCCACGTCTGTTTTCCAAGACGTACTCCTTGTTACCCCTTGTTTCCCTTGTTCCCCCTAGTTCCCCATATTTACCCCTTGTTCCCCCTTGTTCCCCTTTCTTCCCCTTTCTTCCCCTTGTTACCCCTTGTTACCCCTGGTTACCCTTGTTTCCCCTTGTTACCCAATGATACCCCTTGTTACCCCTTGTTACCCTTTGTTACCCCTGTTACCACTTGTTATCCTTGTTACCCCTTGTTACCCATGTTACCCCTTGTTACCATTGTTACCCCATGTTACCCTTGTTATCCCTTGTTACCCCTGTTACTGTTTGTTACCCCCTGTTACCCTTGTTACCCTTGTTTCCCTTTGTTACTCTTGTTACCCTTTGTTACCCTTGCTACCCCATGTTACCCTTGTTACCCTGTGTTAGCCTTGTTACCCTGTGCTACCTTTGTTACCCAGTGTTACCCTTGTTACCCCTTGTTACCCTTGTTACCCCATGTTACCTCTTGTTACCCTTGTTACCCCTTGTTACCCCATGTTACCCTTGTTACCCTGTGTTACCCTTGTTACCCTGTGCTACCTTTGTTACCCAGTGTTACCCTTGTTACCCCATGTTACCTCTTGTTACCCTTGTTACCCCTTGTTACCCCATGTTACCCTTGTTACCCTTTGTTACCCTTGTTACCCTGTGCTACCTTTGTTACCCAGTGTTACCCTTGTTACCCCTTGTTACCCTTGTTAGCCCATGTTACCCCTTGTTACCATTGTTACCCCATGTTACCCTTGTTATCCCTTGTTACCCCTGTTACTGTTTGTTACCCCTTGTTACCCTTGTTACCCTTGTTTCCCTTTGTTACTCTTGTTACCCTTTGTTACCCTTGCTACCCCATGTTACCCTTGTTACCCTGTGTTACCCTTGTTACCCTGTGCTACCTTTGTTACCCAGTGTTACCCTTGTTACCCC